GTTATGGAAAATATATTTCAGAGAACAATATAATTTATATATTTATAAAAAATATACCTGCTTCTTCTCTCAAATATCTAGTTTTTGCATATTTAAACCATGAGGATACATGATCTTGAAAGTTTCTGTCTGTGTACGTAGGAAAATATTTCTATCTGTGTACGTAGGAAAATGTTTTCTTATTGCATCTACGCATGTGATAATAAAAAGAGGGTTACATATTTTATATTTTTATAATTAAAAGAAGAAAGGTCTTACGGAAAAATGTCTGTCGAATTGGCTAATTTTTTAATATGTTGTAATTCTCGTTATTCTGAACAAGTCTTAATAGTTACAACTTGATCCTATAATATGAGCCATTTCCGTACTACAAGCCTTAGAAAGCCCAGATTTAATTCGTAAATATATAGGGTTTTCTACTTGGATGTGTAACCCTTGATCGAATGAGCATGCGTGCATGTGCACGCGCGCGCGCGCGCGCGCGTGTGTGTGTGTGCATACGTGCACCTTAATTACACTTGATGATTATAACAACTAATATATAATTACATGACAGTTATATTACATATTTATGGAATTGTTGTTTCCTAATTATACAGACGTATAATATGAAAGGATGATAACGTGAAGATTTATTAACTTTTAAATAAAAAAATTAATATATTCACGCACACATGCACGTACATTCGATCAAGAGTCACAAATGCAAATAGATAAGTAGGTACATTTGGATCTTCTAGAGCCTTCGTAACGCAAAAATAGCTCATAGGATCAAATTGTGTTCATTGAGACTTGTTCAGAACGAGAACTATATTTCAAAAAATTAGTCGATTGATTTGACAGAGACATATTTTCATAAGAATGGTGCAGGGATGTGAGGTCTTTTATCAAATATATGAGATTCGACTTTTACTTTTTTTAGCTAGTACGAAAAACAGTAGCAAACAAAAGAAATGCGTAATACTCTTTTACGCTGCCAGCGGCGCAGTCAGAGTTAGAAATAAAAATTAAAAAATTCGTAACTTTTACATACCTCTTAAAATTGCCATTGTACGTAATGAGCACAATTGATAATTTCCCTTGCGGCCAAACCAAGAGCATTTACATCCCAGCTTATTGGTAAATAGTTTCTCCAATCCATTTTTACTTTGAACTTGGGCAGTATTCCCTCCTAATAAATAGAAGAACATTTCCTATACAAGAAATAAAAGCAGTTAATGTTTCGGGTAATACAGGATTTCATTTTTAATGTAATTTTATTTTTAAATTATTCAAGTATATTTTATATACTTAAAAACTCCTACCAATTGTTTTGATGCGACTATATTTGCTGTTAAGCTATCATCAAACTCTAACAATTTTCTATATTTATTAAAAGGTTTTGTAGGAATTATGTTTGTCGTATTTTGTATAATATTTGGATTTATTACTGCGTTTGAAGCAACATTAATATTAATTCGAGAATCTAATTGTTTTAGAAACTCATTTTGCTGTTCTACTATTTTCCTAGTTGCCAAAAGATTTTGTAATATTTGTAACATTACGTTGTAATCTGAAAAATAGCATTTGTGTAATTAATATTTTGTAAAAATAACAGAAAAAAAATGTTTACGTAACATAAAAATAAAACTTTTTATGTAATTTCATATTTTTACACTTACAATTAGCTTATTTAATGAAGTGTAAGCATAAGAATAATAATTTTAGATACTAAAATTAATACCTGTTCGTAAATCTTCAATAATAATATTACTCATTGTAGAATTTCCGTCTTCATTCGTCATCACAGCAGCAATATTACTTTCTTAAAATAAACAAAATAATATTTACTTATTTTAAAG